GTTTTCCAGCCGAGATAAAAAAGATTCTCGCTTCAGCGCCAGCCGCAGTGCCAGTCTGGACTGGCGCTCCCCTCCAGACGCTGCACTCGTCACCACTCCAGGAGGCCTGCCGGGTGGTCATCGAGGTTGTCTATGGGCTCCTCTTGGGGTCGGTCGGGGCCCTGTTGGGTTCCTCTCGTGCCGCATACTTGGGCACCTTCGGGCGATTAAGGTCTTCGGATGCACAGGCGGAGTGAAGGCGACGACGTCACTACGATGGTAAGTCATACCTCACACTCCGCGCTTGCGCATCGGGGAGAAGAGTGGTGTTTGTCCCCAAACGTGGCCCCCAATTGCAGCCCCCGCGTGTGCCCCCCAGTGTGTGGCGCCCACCTGTGGCCCCCGAGTTTGCTCCCGATGTGTGTGTATTCGTGTGGGTTTGCATGCGCCCGTGCTTATACACACGTATGTGTGCACACGCATGTGTGCCGTCCTACCTTTTCGTTTCATCCAAGGTGTCGTGAACTCCGCACTTGACGTCCGAGGCTCACTAGAACCTAACCGCGCGAAGCGCGCCCACGCGCGGTTCCTAGTCCTGGTATACGCCGCAGGCAGCTTTCGGGCCATAGCTCGGGTCCCCAGTGGCCGTTCGGCACGATCCGGGCACCCCCAGAACGCTCTCGGCGAGGCGCCGCTGCCGGGGAGCATCCGCAGAGGCAGGCAAAACATTGTGGGCATCGACGAGAGCATGAGAACACATCGAACCCCTCGTGGACCTCGCGCCTCCATACGTGGTGTTTGATCGCTGACCGACCGACTGACCGAGAGGAGGAGGAGGAGGAGGAGGAGGAGGAGGAGGAGGACCAGCGCCAGACCATGTCGTGCAACCGAGGGACGGGAGCACGGGACTTACTTGAGAAAGTTAGACGGGTCTTAAAGACTTGCCCGTCTTAGGGTGGCGACCAGCCTTGATGGCAGAAATGGCATATGTCTGCCGATATCTGGTCAGCCCATGCTCCGACGCCCCGAGACATTCCGCTTGCAGTTTACAGTTAGCTACTTTGCCACGAGACGCTTGGTAGGAGCCACAAAGCGTGCAAACCATCGCCCACGGCAGCACCAAGACCTGGTGCCCCTGGAGCTCGACGATCTCTTCATCGGCGGCAGACTGAGGCCCCGCAGATCCAGAAGCACCCTGGACGTCCTGTGGCGAGCCTACACCCTCAAAATCCGCAGAATCCGCAGCCCCCTTTCAGGGCAACATTCACAGCGTGAGACCTCATGAGCGGAGCTCGCTGGAACTGCTGGTCCGCACGTGCCTTCAGCCTCTCTTGGGCCGTCGGCTTACATTCAGTTCCCAAAATCTTTCCAAGACTGGCCTGCGTTCGGGCTACCGCAAGACATTTTCTACACTGAAAGACTTGGGGATACCTAGCTACCATATTATGTCCAGTCAGAGCTACACAGGGCAGATTGTACTGAGGGGCCCTCAGGAGTTGCTCAGGGCGATCGCTCAGTTGATCTCGTGCAGCCATCTTGGCCGCTGCCCAAGAAAAGAACTTCGCCTGCATCGTTGCATCCTGAAGCCGAGCCTCAAAGTATTTGACCACCGTGTCAGGTTGAGCGTGTTCGAGGGCGCCTCGCTTAGCAAAATAATATGCCCAACGATTGCCCATGACAAACTCCCATGGCAAGTTCTTTTCCTCAGCACAGCCGACATATTCATCATCTGTGAGGTGCGCGGTGCGCTGGGCACCACAAAAAAGAAGGTCGGCCTTTTCCTCCAGGATGCCTTGCCAGGATGGATCGCCAGATATCGGCATAGGCCGCTTGAGCATCAGCAAGTTCAGGTGACCAGTTGCCTGCTTCTTTAACGAGATCCAGGAGGTCTCACACAAGCAAATTGACATGCGGCGAATGACGGAGGGCTTGAAGGACAGCAAATCGTTCAGCTCTTCCCACACTCTGTATAGGCCCCCATAATGGTCCAAACAAGGCTCTTATGGGCATCCCATTGTCCCCAAGTTGAAGTACTGACCAACCGCATCTCCTTAGCTCTGGCCAACTGGGGGCCATTCCAGAACCATCAGTATAGCATACCCCACTCCAAGAACTCCGATCAGATTCCCAATCTTCCCAGAAAGAGAACTCCAGCTTATCTTCCACATACGGAGGAACCAGAGGGCTGATGGGCATCCCAACCGAGTCTCAAAGTAGTCATAGCCGTGCTGTCCTCCGCCTGGCTGCCCTTTTATCACTGAGATAGGAGCGCACATAGTTAAGATCTGGATCCCAATCGAGAGCGGGATCATCATACACATCATGATAAAAATCATGACACTGGTAGAACTCATGCCCGATGGTGGCCTTATCGGCCGATCACCAGCAACAGGCATGATATATTCTATAGCCAGCACGTGCAAGACGGTCACGAGGCCATAGCGCACCTGACCACAGCGAACGAAGTTCACTAGCGAATTTGTCATTCTTAATCATTGCCTTACTTCCCCCAATGCACTTCCTGAGCGCCCTCGTCCAGATGATCTCTCCTCCTACACATACCTCCTTGTGATGTTCAAGAATCTGTTGAGATTGCCATCGCTCGATTCCTTGGCGCACAAGTTCCACGACCGAGCGTGGAGGAAGACGGAGAAGATCAAAGTGGTGGCCAGGATCACTGACCAACACCGCACTGGAAAACATATCCCTGCCTATCCTTGCCAGCGTTAACATAAGCACTGCTATTGGACCTTTGGCTGATGCCCAGGAAGGCCGTGCCGAACCTATTTATCGAACTTTCTGCCGCGCCCTCTGAAGCCTCCCAAGACTAACCCTCTGGTCCCAGATGAACGACGCACAAGCCCGTACTGGATCCAATGTAGCATCATATATGGGGTCGTACTTGGCGCCAGCCTGTGTGGCAAGTACAAGCGCGAGGGAGGGAGACTTACTAATACTAGACCGCCCCACCAACATTGCTGCCGTCTGCTGCAGCTTGGCCAGCTCACTGTTGTTGGCGCCTGAAACTGCGGCTCCATGAGCAGCAGCTGGCATGAGGCCTGTCCTCCATAAAGCCGTCACGCGATTATAGCTCCACGTCTCAACATCTTCAATCTGGGCAGCTATCTGCTAGCTGCGTCAACCTGGCTTTGGCTTGCTTTCTGATCGGCTTGGGCCCACTGAGCTCACGCCCCAGATTCCTCACCCAAGACTTCGCCTTCATTCTGAGCGAACCTTCCAAACCCATGCCTAGCCGACGCAGCCGTAGCCACCCACCCAGAGTTTTTGACCTGGAGCAAGAGACCGAACCTGGACGTGTCCTTCAAGAAGCTCTGGACCCCCTTGAACAACTCATGAGCGGTGTCCTCCTTGGGCCCAGTCCACTGAAGGGTGGAGTCATCTACCAAGGCCCTGGGGTGCGCGTTGGGGCTCACCTGGGTAACTGCATGGACAGCTCTATATGTCAATATAGACAGCAGAGTAGTAGCATGAGTACATCCCGCAAGCATACCCTGCAGAGCCCGAAACGATTTGCTCGAGCACCCGAAAGCCCGAATGACTCTAGGTTGTGAGTACGAGTCCAAGAGCATCCAGAGGAGCCCCATGGGGAACTGCATGGACCTTGCCTCTATGATGAGGGCGTCATACATAACCGTTTCAAAACATTTCCACATATTTAAAAATACAGTGATTGAAGATTCACCTAGTCGATCAGCTATTTCAGCTTGTAAACTGTGCTCATAAGCCGAGAAACTGGATGAGTAGCCGCGTCGGTTGCCCCAAAAACACTTGCTACCATGATCTCGAATCCACCTTCTGGAAATCGGTCGGCGAGCTCGGGACCAAAGACGGACTAGCGACTCGACCAAGGTGATAAGACGTGTTCCCCCATCAGGTTTTGCTAGTCTAACCATCTCATTGACTATTCTGTCAGACGGCCACATCAACATATGCTCGCACATCGTAAAAAGAGCTGCAAGAGCAACCGGGCCTGGCTGCGAAAGATACCAGAAAGCGCGAGGATGCAGTCGCGTGGGACCTACCGACGTTTTCCATGGAAAGGTAAGCGCCGCTTCCTGAAGGTCCTCAGGCCGCAGCTTCGGTAGCAGATCCCAGCTCTGATAATCGGCAGGCATCTTGTTGCTCACCATTTCATGACAACTCCATGCCTCACTCCAGCACTCAAGCTCTATGTCAGCAAGTTGAAACGGCTGCGAGTTATCAGTGTGAGTGACAGCAGTTTCCAATGCCTTCGCCTTCGACGCCCGATGTGCAGCACCAGCTCCTTTCTCAAAAGCAGACCAGACCCATGAACGCCAAGATTTGTCAGCCTCCTTCTGATGCACCATCATCATATCATCAGCAACTCCCACAATCTTGAATGCCAATGTCAGAAAATCAGGTCTGACCATCATAGTGAAATCTCCAGAAAGCAAATCAACTGCCCAATCATCCAGATGCTGCAGCGTGTCCTGCGCATGGTGCACCTTCTTCAAGAAGTGGACCACATCGACAAGTGATCTCGCCAATCTTGCAGCGGGTTTGAGCAGCTTGTGAGATCTATCTTCTTCAGTTTGTGTACGTGGTTGTGCAGGCCGTTGTTCACCTTTCAACTGTTCTGACCGCGTTTTCTCCGACTTCACCCCCGCGCGCCGAAACTTAGGTCGCAAGTGTGGTCTTTTGGCTTTGACCTTCTGCCGAGCCTCCCACGACCTTGTCAGAGTGCGGACTCGCGTAGTCAGGAAGGTAAAACTTGCCAGCACTTCTACCCTCAAGCTTGAACGCCTCAACCATCTTGCACCAAAAGGCCCGCACTTTCATAAGATGCTTAGCACAGCGCGCAGCCTGAAGCCAAGCTCGAAGTCGCGGCCCATGCTGTAGTCGCACCTGTCGCGGATTCCATGGCGCCTTGACGTACTTAGTCTGCGCTGGTCCTCCTCTTCCAAGGTATCTCTCATGACCAGCTCCTACCTTGTCATACCGTGCACACAACTCCTGCTCTCAACTGCCATCAAAGTCAT